GATGCCGGTACCTATTCAGAAGGACCAAGCTACTGATACTGCCAATTTTACTATACGGTAGTGAAACCTGGACGCTATCTTGTGCTTTGGAATCTCGTCTTGATGCCTTTTTGTAACAGATCCTTGCGCCGGATCATGGGGTACAGTTGGCGGGACCATCTCTCTCTTTCTTTCTCTCTCTCTCTCTCTCTCTCTCTCTCTCTCTCTCTCTCTCTCTCTCTCTCTCTCTCTCTCTCTCTCTCTCTCTCTCTCTCTCTCTCTCTCTCTCTACTACCACTACTACTAATAATAATGAGAACAATATAATGATATTATAACGCCATTATTACTCTTCTAATCCCTAGCTCGCTGTTGCCGTAGGAGAGCTTAGGAAACGGAGCTCGAGGCCAAGATCACCTCTAACTTGGACCTCAGCCTCGCCTAAGCTAACTTTGCATGGTCTTTTCTTCTCCCCCTTTGCTTCTCCTCTTCTTCATCCCCTTCTTCTGGCCACTTCCTAAGGTGTTGAAAGGGTGAAAGGCTGGCTTTATGTCAGTCCTGAACGGCTTTCGGGAGCCTTGGGCACGGTATTCCTTTAGTTAATCGCCTAGCCCTTACCCCTTCTGGTGAGCCTGAGGGGTCGACCGTTTCTCCTCCCTCCTTACTTCAGGCTCACCATGGCCTCCTCATTGATCACGGCTCCGACCAATGATGATAACCCCTCCTCGATGTTTACTGTCAACTCTATCCATTAAGAATCACCACCCAGGCCATTACTTGAACCTTCCAAATACATCCCTTTCTCTCTTCCAACATCCTCCACTCTATCTCCTTTTACACAGTCTTCTTCATTGTCTACCCCCCCCCCCCCCCCCCTTATTACTACTCTTCATCCTTATTGACCTCCTCCCCGCAGTGCTGCTTCATTCCATTCCGCCTCAGCTTCCTCCCGCCCTCGTCCTTCTACTGCTTCCACCAAAAATAGAGGCGAACCAAGGCCTGAAGTGCTGAATCATCATGTGGCAGAGGGTGACACCACATGATGGACCAACAAAAACGAAAAAAGAAATCACAAGTATGAAAACAATAATTGATCGGGCTATAGATCACAGTGAATGACCAGTCTGAGAACAAGAAATTAACTCGGGTGTCAGGTAGACATAATTAGAGGTAATAAATGCAGTGTTAAAAACTTGCTGACGCATAGAAAAGCTGACGCGGGTACCTTCTAATTATGAGCAGTGACTAATGATAACCAGCAAGGGCGTGACCGAAAATACAGGGACGCCCAGTGACAGACTTTGTGGACTAGGTTTCGGAGACTCCAGCACCCAAGTTCATCTCGGTAAGCTCGTTTGAAGTAATTTAGTGTACATTCGTGATGGGAGATAGTGGACGAGATCTAGAAATGAAAGACAGTCGGAGTGCTATTCTGGGACATAGGGTTAGGAAGAAAATGAAGATTTTTATAAACGTATAATGAAACAACTTGATTATCAAATTAAACTAATGATTTGGTAACATTGTGTTAATGGTTAAAGCTTATAACAATTAATGTGCTAAGTATCAAGGTCATGTCTTAGATATATCTTCTTAATTAACAGTTAATGAGATTAGGTAGGTTGCTTTATAAGTGTAATTCCGTAATTAAGTGCTTTCTAAGATTGAGAGCTCAGCGGAAGTGTGTAGACAGTGACGAGTTCTTTTTGTTTTCCGACAGAGTGTAGAGGTAATAAATACAGTAATACTGTATTTATTACCTCAAATCATGATTTTTTTGTCTGATATCTAATTAATTTAATAACGTTGAGAAGAAGGATTAATTGCTTTTATAATGACTGTCATTTTGTTTTATGATATTTGATTAATAAGATATAACGTAGTTTTGAATGTTGTTGTTTTCGTTTTCATCAAATTTCACGGCATAATTATATGACAGTGAGTCATAACTGTCTAGTTATGTGAAAAGAGTTAAGAACCCAAATAATGTCTTGTCAGTTTTTTTACGTTAATTTGGTATTGTAACTGTTTATATTACACTGATAATTTTTAGCTAATAAATTTATTGATTTTTTTTTTACGAAGATTGAACTTCATCTTTGAATTGCACTAATTAAGAGTATCAATATTGTCACTTTGAAATCACTGATTGATTATTTAAAGTTACACAGTAATTAATGAGAACATTTAAACATTCATTAATCTAACATAAGATTAAATTAAAATTAAAAGTCTCGCTACTGAAGAACACTGAATAAAATGTGAAATAGAGGACCACAACAAATTGTGAGATAGCAGTTTTCAGATTCATACGAGGCTTCAGTCTACGCGAGGCTAGACAGGAAGCACGCCAACGAGGTCTTTCTCTTTCTGCCTATCTGAAAACTGTACTTCGCTCCGCTCCCCTAACATCTTCTCAAGATGTCTCAGCATCTCCCCAATATCTCTTCCTTCTACCCCCAAACCACCCTATCTCTACTGCTTCTCTCCCCCAGTTAAATTCCCTTTTCAGTCTAAATCCAGAGCAAATATTCCAGTCTAGACCTCGTCCCCAGTGCCTCCCCCCCCCCTCCTCCTTAGATAATGTGTGCTGTGTGGTGCAGCGGTAGCGATCTCGTCTAGCAATCTTGCTGACCTGCGTTCAAATTCCTCGCCGCCAGTGGAAGGTGACCCTGGCT